GATAGGCAGGGCCGTTGGGCAGTATCCTGCATTGTTATCGTATAAGCTGAATGTCAAGGAACTTGTGGTGTCAGCGGACATGTGTCAGTGGGGGCCATAGGGTAACGTTTAGTACCGTGGTCCTTTTCTTTTCTACACATTTATCCTTGGCTCTCCATCCGACTGCCACTCACGTTTTTTGAATTAGTTGAGTTTTGAAGCTACTTTAAAATTATTTTATGCTGCTTACCATACATAAGATAATTCCATTCATCAGTTTTCGTGTTCATGGCTTTGGTAAACTGTGTATGTGCGCGAGAGGGTGGGAGAGAGAGAGAGAGAGAGAGAGAGAGAGAGAGAGAGAGAGAGAGAGACAGAGAGACAGAGAGACAGAGAGACAGAGAGACAGAGAGAGACAGAGAGACAGAGAAAGACAGAGAGAGACAGAGAGAGAGACAGAGAGAGACAAACAGAGACAAACAGACAGAGAGAGAAGGGGGGGGGCTGTTGTGTGTCTGCGACCACTTGTGTCTGTGAACACGTGTTGGAGGGGGGGGGGGGCTGACTGAGACTGGTGACATGCAGCCTGCAAGGAGCACTGAGCTTGTCAAATGTATCCGACTGCGAGTACGTGACTGCAACGAAAGTACTTGTAACAGTTATTTTGGTTGTTCAGCTCTTTGTCCGTTGAAGGTGCGTACCACATTGAAAACTTCAGGCTCCTACGACCGATAATGTTCTAAGGAACCTCTCTACTCAAATTCATGATAAAAGTGCGACGCCATGTGATCTTGGTTCCACAGTCAACATGCCTTGACCACTTCCTAATCTGACAAAGATAGGAACTTGGGAAGCTACTCCATTGAAAGAACTGCTAGAATTCCATACAACAGACTTCCTTTCCTCATGAAATTTGTTCCAGATATTATGTCAAGCACACGTTTTTGCAAGACTTGGTTGATAAATGTAAGAGTAGAATACGTCACCCCTGATACTCGCTCGACTCCTCTGTCAGATACTTTTACTTTCGTGATTTTCTAATTCCGGTCCTTTCTTTTCTAAGGTGGCGTTTGGTTGGGCATTTTCAGAATGTAAATGACAGCCATTCTGGAATGGGAATGGGTAAGAATCACCTGACCAAACAAATGCGCCAGAATCAACTAGGAATCACTTGAGATAACAATTCCATGATAGGGACATTTCGCATTTGCTACGAATCAAATGCGAAACTAAAGTTTGATTCGGCTTGTGATCGTTTCATTGAAAATAGATCCAGGTTTCGCAAGTCGTCATGCAAATGTGCATGGCAACTACGAATACGGCCGGTAGCTTGGCGTACGGGTGTTTACACGCACACGTGCATGGATCATTGAATCAAGGGAAAAATGTGTACCTGGCAAAACATGTGCACCTGGCAAAAAATGTGTACCTGACGAATTCGGGGGTGCCACGAATGCAGAGGCTTCGTGAAAACGAGCTCTCTGCCGGGCCTAATCCTCGAACCCAGGTGACGAATCAGCTTCCGTTTCATATCCGTACGCGTGGTTCGAAATGTCCCTAAAGTCGTTGTGGAACGGCGACTCTCTTCTCTTTTACCCGACTCCTTGAGAGAGTCAAGGCACTTCTGACTGCATGATTTGTGGCACTTGCACCTAAATCTACGTTGTTTGGCTCGTGGCAATCATTTTTAATTTGTGATTCCGGAATGAGAATGCTCATTCCAGCATGGGAAGTGGAATGATCAGTGATTCCCATTCATGTATGGGACCAACCTAACGCACTTTTTGACCAACCAAACGGGCGAGAATGATTCCGAGTGATTCCCATTTGGGAATGTGACCAAGCAAACGTAACCCGAATGCGGCTTATCCATTCGCCTTCATCATTGGGCCTAGTTCCCATTTTTTGTGCGAATTAAAATAAACCAACCAACAAAATATAAGCCTGAAGCTTCCCTTTAGAACGGGAATCATTGCGAACAGTTGGTATTGTCTTGCTGTGGTGCGGAGTTTAAAGCTTGGTACTTGTGCTTGAGATTGCAGGTTACTTGTGAGTAAAATCACAAATCAAAACATGGACTCGAGTCGACGAGAAATTCTGCGAGCCAGCAACTTTCTTTGATATAATTATCGGTAAGGCTGTCATCACACCATGGTATAAAGCGCTGCGTCTACGTCCACGTAAGGAGTTTTTGGTCGGTTGTCATGATGATCCATCCATATACGGGGTAAAAACGGGAGCAGAGGAAACGGGAGACGTAGACGTGGTATGGAGAGGGGGGTATACGACTTTTTGTATGAACGTGCGTATCTCCTCCAGCCTTTTTCCGAGCGACCCTGTACTTCGATGTACGCGGATTCAAATTTCTCCAAAAACCTGACTGCGTGTACGCGTCAAGAACTGTGCTTGTCTGATGACACGACCATCCGTTGTGGTTTTTCACCATAGACGTAGACGTAAACGGGAGTCGGAGAACGTGGTGTGATGACAGCCTAAAGGTAGACGTTGTGTTTGCTCGTGG